GAAGGGATTTACATTTACATTTTTACATTTCAGTAATTTAGCAGACTTGAGACCATTCCTCCATACAGAAACTCTCCAGATCCTTCAGAGTCCTTGGTCCTCGCTTGTGGACTCTCCTCTTCAGCTCACCCCACAGGTTTTCAATGGGGTTTAGGTCAGGGGACTGGGATGGCCATTGCAAAAGCTTTATTCTATGGTCAGTGAACCATTTTCTTGTGGATTTGGAGGTATGCTTTGGATCGTTGTCCTGTTAGAAGATCCAACGACGGCACAGTTTTACCCTCCTGGCATAGGGAGACAGGTTTTGGCCTAAAATCTCCTGGTACAGTTCTTGATGGAGTCCATGATGCCATGTATCCTAACAAGGTTCCCAGGGCCTTTGGAAGTAAAACAGCCTCACAACATCACAGATCCACCACCATACTTTACAGTGGGGATTAGGTTATTTTCTGCATGACCATGGCTCCTTTTATGCCAAACCCACCTCTGGTGTTTGTTGCCAGAAAGCTCTATTTTAGTCTCATCTGACCATAGAACCTGGTTCCAATCAAAGTTCCAATGACATTTAGCAAACTCCAGGAGCTAAGGTTTGTTGTTTGGTGACAGCAGAGGCTTTCTTTCAGCAACCCTTCCAAATAACTTGTTGGCATGGAGGTGTCGTCTAATTGTAGTTTTGGATACTTGGTGACCCCAAAATTTAACCAACTTCTGCAATTCTCCATCTGTGATCCTTAGAGATTTTTTTCCACTGTGCGTGGGGGGAAAATACACTTGCGTCCTCTTCTAGGCAGGTTCATCACAGCGCCAGTTGTTTAACATTTGGAGATGAGTATTTTCAGGCGTGTAGCTATCTTTTTATAGCCATTGTCTGATTTGTGAAGGTCAACAAACTTTTGTTGCATTTCATTTGTGTGTTCTCTGGCCTTTCCCATGTTGATGGATGACTAATGAAGTTTAGCCTGTTTCTCACCTCACATGTATAACCTAGTGAAACAGGAAAACATGGATGACCACTTAAGAGTTCCCAAAGACTCAGATTAACTTTAAAAAGTAAAATCTAAATCGGAATTTACATCAATTAGATTTTGTTCCTAAGAATTTCTAGGGGTGCCAATAATTGTGACACGCATGTTTTTGAATAAAAAAAATTCTCAATTATGTTTTTTTATTTTTGGTACAATTTTAACTCAATTAAAGGTTTCATTCATATGATATTTTGAGTGTAAGATCAAGCTGAAAACAACATCCTTTTTTCAGATCCTTTTTTGTTCATATTTACCTAGGGTGTCAATAATTCAGCAGGGCACTGTAATATACACATTATACTATGATGTCTGTATTGTTTATTATAGCATCTAGTTTGGCTGCAGTATTAATATGCGTGACTGAGTCCTTTATCGCTCCAGGTGTGAAGTCACTATCTGCACCCTTCCCTTCAGTTCCTGGCCCAGACCAGAACCATTTCTCCATACCAGCTATTGTAAAAGCGGCTCTTATGCCAATAAATAAGGCTCTAAATGGCTAAAACAGCTGTCACTCATGGTCCCCTGCCAGTTTATTGGAGGACTTGTGGTTTCCTGCATTTCGTCATCCAATTTCAGCCGGCCATAATCTTGTGATTCTGAACAATTTCCTGAGCACGAGTCCAATCCCTTAGTCTCTCGTATTCTGCTCTCTCCACTATCACAACTATATCTATAGTATAATATTAGACTTAAGAGTATTATTATTATTATGTTATTACACAAATTCCATCATTATTGTATTAAAAAGTAACATAACCAGCAATTACCCTATTTGCCAATATCTGACAAATTTTGTGATGTTGAAGAACTTGATGGTATGGGTCAGTTGGAGCCTTGAGTAGGCCTAGAGCATTTATTTGGCAGAGTGCTGTTTGGTTCAGATCTTTATAATATAAAACCCAGGTAAAGAAGATACACTGTTGGCCATAAACACCCTGGAATGCTAACCAGTCATGAAGCCTGTGATGTGACCTGATCTGCGAGTTATGCCTAATTATTTAAATAAACATGTAGCTAGCAGTTGTAGATTTTTCACAGATGTACTTTTTTAATGAATCGCAGATTACCAATGTCTTGGACATGTCCCAAACTGTCTGTAAAAACGGTGAGAAATTCAACGCAGGCATATCCATGTTTAATGTTATTCTCAAAGCAACTCAGTCACTGAGAAAAAGTTTTTAAAAAGTTAAAACTCGCTTTGAAAACCCCAATATTTCAGTATATGCTTACATTGTGTTGCTGAAAAGTGATTCTAGATTCAAGACACGGATTCTGGCACTCAGCGTCTGGATCACGGTGTGTTTAAACATATTCGGCTATCAGAGAGAAACAGAAATCACAATATTCATTATAGTTTGGGGTATCGTACTATAGTGTACATCATCTATCAACACCTACGCTATACTGAGAATGATACTAAATCCTTTAAGTTGGAAAAGCAAAGTAGACCCTCAGATCCAATGTGGAAAAGTATTTAGTTGGTGTGTGTTGTTCTTGGCATGGAGGGTTGTAATGACAACATTACCCTTCCTGCAGAACGAAATCTGCTCCCAAAGGGATCAAGGTAGAAGGTTAATTCAAGATCAGAAGTTACACGGTCCAGAGGTATTCCACAACAACAGGCTGTCGCCTCCACCGTAACCTTCCCTTCACATTGTAATGCAGAACACTGGAGCATCATTGAAATCGAATTAGAAAATATTACGTTAGCTGTCTACACGATGGGCACATAAAAATTCATACTTGGACTACAAGGAAATTCAATTCAAGAAATTGAAATTCAATTCAATAAAATACTACATTTGATTACATGTCATATCAATGGGTATACAAAATGTCATAAATGTTAAGTGTGTCATCTAATCTGTCAAAGAAAGCTTTCAAAATGTTGTTTATTAATTGTGAGTTTATTTTATATCTGTCACGTCTCCTCCCGTTGCTCCCCTCTACTGAGCCACCGGTCTGAGCGCACCACCTCGGCAACACCGGAATGGAAACCCAACGCACCCTAATCACCTCCAGCGCACCTGCACCTCATCATCTCATCACCACCCCTATTTAGCCATGGACTGTTCTGGATGATGTTGTGTGTGATTGTTAAGCTTCGTGTCGTTTACTCTATCTTTGTTATTTCTCTTTGTCATTGTTAAGTCAACCTTGACCTTGTTAATTTCTGCGTCTGCGTCCTGCCTCTTCGTATACTCTGTACTCGTTACAAGATCATGTTCTTGGAATGTCTATGTTCATGTCCTTAGTGTGTATTTGTTTATTCACTGATGTATCAATTATTTTCTATTCTTGTAATTGTTGCCTCTGCAGGGTCAAATCCATCACACTGTTTAGACAGGTCTCTGATCACCCTAGTCTCATGAATAAGTTCCTCATTAATTCTAATTTATTCTCCAACAGCTCTGACCGACATTCCTGAAGAGAACCGTCTATGTGTTCTACTTTGATCAGGCGATGTCATATACAAACAGCTAAATCAGACAGTCAGCTAATATAAAAAACAGAGAGCGTGAGAGAAGGCATGGTTCTGGAGTCTGATGGAATCTGACCACAACTGAACACAAATCCACTTTGTCTGTGATTCTGAGGGAACTGGAAAGCCACAAATCAGTTCAATCCAAACTTGCAGAGTTATTGGATAACCAGCTGGCCCTGTACTGTAGGAGGCTACGGCTCTGTCACGGCCAAAACCAGCTGGTCCTGTACTGTAGGAGTCTACGGCTCTGCCACAGCCAAAACCAGCTGGTCCTGTACTGTAAGAGGCTACGGCTCTGCCACAGCCAAAACCAGCTGGTCCTGTACTGTAAGAGGCTATGGCTCTGCCACGGCCAAAACCAGCTGGTCCTGTACTGTAAAAGGCTACGGCTCTGCCACGGCCAAAACCAGCTGGTCCTGTACTGTAAAAGGCTACGGCTCTGCCACGGCCAAAACCAGCTGGTCCTGTATTGTAAAAGTCTACGGCTCTGCCACAGCCAAAACGCCACTCTAAAACACAAATTAGAATGCACACTCATACAGAAGGCAAAGAAACGCTAGGTCTACATATGGTTTTAAATTACATTAACATAATTTAAAACATGTATTTATTTTCCTTTTTACAGATCTAGTAACATACCAATTGTGTAATATTGTGAGAATGTTCAAGAACCGGACAATGCCAACAATGTTTTTGATTGATCCGTTTTATTCACTTAAGAAACCATTATGTCCCAGATTTATATGTCATAAAAGTATACATTTTTCACTAAGAAATACACTTTTAAGACTTTTAGTGGAAGCAAAATGTAAAACCAATGGATCAACAGTCAGAAGAAGTTTACTAATATGCATCATTCAGTTCTGTTGTAAGTAAATCAGCATAGTAGGACTCACGGTAATAGCCTACTATTCAATTCAATTCCACATTTTTTATTAAAGCTAATTGCATGATTTTTATATTCCAAACTGAGTAAATACAGTAGAATTTAATCTTTGACAGTGCAAAAATCCAAGCCATTCTATCAATGCAAGGCACGTGTGGAATGTTCACAATGATATATAACTTTTTTCCCAATTTATAGTCTCAGGAGCTTGAGGCTTTGCTCACAAGGATATAATTTATTATTTTATTTCACACATCCAGTTGTTCATTCCATCCTCCTTCCATTCCATCTTCTTCTTGCTTACCTTGACTTCTCTTTCTTCCTTCACTCCTTTGCCAATCAACAAACACCTTCAGTCAGAAAACCTGTTGTTGCTGGTTCCTGAGAGAAAAGGCCTAGGTGTTCTTTCCACTCCGAAGAGCATAGTGAGTACGTAGGCCTAGGTGTTTTTTCTGAGTTCTGAGTCGAATATCAACATACTGTATATAATGCTGTACCTACAAACGCAACATGATCTCATCAACTCACTGCATTTTTAGACGTTTGTTCAAATGGCTGCAAACTTGACCTAAGACCTCTGCGTGACCTATGTGGCGGGTCAGGGTCATAAGTGAGCGTGCTCTGAGCTCTGGTCACTGTCATGACTGTCCTCATTACCAGGGGAACCGGTGGAGTGGTGTAATCCTCCCACCATGCCAGAGTACTCTGAGGGTAACAGAGTTCCCTTCTTCACGTTGACCAGTTCTTTCTCTCGGGCCGCTGCCCCCTGTTGACCCCCTTTAACACGCTTCCACTTCATCCTTCTGTTCTGGAACCACACCTTTACCTGGAGGAGAAGAGAACAATTAGTTTACAGGGAAATAGCGTGGAAGCTATACGGCAGGGGGGGTCCAACTCAATACCTGGAGGATGACAGTGACTGCTAATTTCATCTCTTTCCTTTGGTGTCTGATTTAGACACTCCTAGGGAGGAATGAAAACCTGCAGATGCTGCGGCCCTCGAGGACTGGAGTTTGACGCTTGGGTCATTTGCAGGAGGGCTGGGGGATCATAGCCCTTCTCAGTAACAAGGGCAATATTAGCCAAGGTTTTAGAAAAATGTATTTAGTGTAATAATAACCACATGAAGAAAACATCAAAAACTTTTAAGTGCACAAAGTTTTCAGGGATTGTTGTGAGCAAGTGGAGATGGAGTGTATATGGAGTGTGAGGGTCTGAGGTAACTCGATGCCATTGTTGGTTCGTGGCGTTCTGGAGACTGAGTTCTTGGCATGTAGACCCGTCAGTAAAACCCTAGCGTCCCCCCACCTCTTCCCTCCCGTTCCCCCTCAGTAAAACATCCCACTGTGCGTCAGGAAACCCAATGTCCTGAATCTGTTGGTGTGAACCCTTCTCTATCAGTGTGTGTGACAGAGCTTTACAGCCTCAGTGAAACAGACCTCTGCCTGCGCAGCAGAGCATGCGCACACACACACACTTGTGTACACACACAAACACACACATACAGGAGTGTGCAACCCAGATCCTCCACCTCTCTTTTTACACACACACACACTGCTCCCGACACACCAGTTCCCCCCCCCCCCACACACACACTCTCTAAACCCTGAGCGACACCTCATCTACCAGAACTTTGGTTCGTTTTGACCCCACTGTGTACGATGTGGGTTGTACAGGGTGACACTGAACCCTGGGTGTACGGTTTAGTTAGCACTCGATGACAGTGAAGCCAGGGTGTACGATCTACAGTGTAGGTGTAACACCTGTGACAGTGAACTGAGCGGACGACTGGCAGCGCCGTTGGCTGTCGTGGTTAGTGTTGGCTGTTGGGGCGTCTTATTTTGACATGGCCAGGTATGTGCTGATGCATGGGTCACGTCCGCAAGCTGGCGGAGGGCCCTGCCTCGGATCCTGTTCCTGACTCCACAGATCCTTCAGTATTTGTGTCTCTTCTTCGTGATGATTAAGCTGCTGCCTAAAACGGCCCGATCGGATCGGGAACGAGCGAAGCGCCGTCCCCCATCCCCCACTGACGACCCTACACCGCCCTACCCCCTCCTGTTGACCCTCCCCATGCCCCACAAACTCCACCCCCCTCCTATACTCCCCTCATCCCCCACCCCCTTCTTATCCACCCTCCGAGTGACCTGCTTTCTCACAGGAGCCCTATGCTCTCCTGTAGGATTTATTTTAGGCATTGTGGCCTGCCACTCACAGGCCCAAGACAGGCGTTAAGTTTACAGAGTAAACACGCAATTGTGGCTCCATTTCTAATAAACGGGTTTAGCATCGACTGCCTCATAAAACTAAGTCCTTCGTAAGTTTTTGTTTTACACACACACAAACACACAAATGCACACACACACACACACATATCCACAAGCCGTACGAAATCCTCTGCCAGCCTTGGGTGCAGCTCTAATTGGGCAATCAGTTAGTCCTACCTAGGTTGTTACACACACACTCGAAGGGTTCAGTGGCGAGATAAGATGAGGATCGGTGTCCACAAGTTGTATAAACCTCTGCCACTGTATATGCCCTTGGGATGTACAATCATCATTAGTAAAGCTAGTTAATAGCAGGATCAGGGAGATAGACGCTGAACTGTAAGATAATAGCCAGGAGGATGTTAGAGTGGGTTTAACATCCAAGGTCAACCCCCACACACGTACACACACACACACACACACACACACACACACACACACACATATGTACACACACACACACACGCACACACACAGACACACAACCCCCACGTACATCCAGATTTATAGGCCTTGCATTGGGAATGTGTGGAGAAGAGAGGACAGGAGAGGAGAGGGGAAGAGAGGAGAGGAGAGGCAGCCAATATGAGTGGGAGTGATTGTGAGGGACAGGGCTCCTAGCTGGAAGGCCTAACTCCTCGGTGGGTTGTTGCCTGGCTGCCTGGGCCTGGCCCTTGACACTGATTGGACTTATACAACAGATGATGATTTCCAAAGACACTTATGGGTGTGCTGAGTGTGTAGGTTGTTTTGGTTAAATGCATCACCACCAACAGATTTATGCAGGCCAGCTTTTTAGATCAAGGCAGATTAGGCATAAAATAGTCATTTAAGAAAATGTAAGATTAATGTTGCTTCTTTTCATCTCAAATAGAACAGAATTATCACTTTTTCACTGCCATACATCAATGGGTGGTTTCCTGGCCCCAGTTTCAGCCTACATACTGGACTAAAAAACACTTTCAATGGAGATTGTCCATTGAGCATACTGTGCGGGAATCCGTCCCTTAATGTCAGTGTATTTCCTATTAGTGTCTGAAGGGAATTACAGAAACATCTGGTGTCTGACACATGCCATCAGACAGTCCCTGCACACACACAGAGAGACCAGCATTGCTGGCAACACACCCACACACATATACACACACACATACACACACAGCATAGATATATCAAAGAGCCTCAGTGGTTTTGGTTTGGAAGCGATTAGCTTCAGAACATTAGCATGACAAGCATTTGCTAAGGTCAAAACATACAGGGTTTTCATCCTGAGGCCTGTGCAGTTTTTAATAGAATCCCCATCAACTGCTGTTAGCTGACATTTCAGTGTGAGTCTTTGAATACATGTGTCTGTGCGTTTTTAGGGTAATTACAGAATGAATCCTCTAACTATGATTCCTTTAGATATTTTGTTCACACGAGCTGCCAATTTTCTGATTTATTTTATCATCAAAGGGAGAAATTAACTGCATAATGTTTTGTCATTAGATGATAAGCCAATATTATGACTAATGAACTTGTTTTGGGTTATCAACACCCAACAGGTAAGATACTTTCTATTTTTCATTTGCAATTTAAAATAACTTTTAAAATATGCAAATGTTAATAGATTTGATTGTTTCCACACAACAACAGGTAACGTACTTGTCTTTCTGTGAGGTCGAGGTTGACTGCTATCTCGTATCGCCTCAGTCTCGTCAGGTAGTTGTGGTGCGCAAACTCCGACTCCAGTTCCCGGATCTGTTCCTTGGTGAACGCTGTCCTCTCCTTCCTGGCCTTGCTGTTCACGTCAGACTTATAGCTCCCGTCCTGGGAATCTAAAATGAAAAGCAGAACTTTTTCCAGACACAGTTGAGTCGCCAAAAAAGAAAGGAGAGGAAAAAGGGGTGAAAAAAAGAAGGGAGTGTTTGATAAACTGCAGGGCTGAAACGCAAAATGAAAGCAAAACAATTAGGGGTGCCAATCACCTTTTATTATGGGGATATTGGACATGCACACTATATAGTGTCTTACTGGAGGAGGGGGAAGCTGCATGAGAAGTGGCAGGCAGTAAGTTCTCTACAGTCTCAGAGCCCAGCTCCCTCAGACAACTGCCCTGTGTTCTCTCTCTGAAACAGACTCACTCATCTTCGCTCGCTCCTTGGAGCTTAGAAAGAAACAGACTGATATCTCTCGAATATTATTAAGTTGTAGCACTTTCTTACTGTATGTGAAAATTCCACAAATCAGTTTACTATAGCCTAATTTATTTTCAATCTAGGCGACACAGAGAATATGTCCTATAACAATCCTTTGTTTAACTGGAAAGTTGGTGGAATTGTCTCTGCCTCTCTCCAGTACTTTATCACCTGTTTTAAATAGAAGTTTCATCCAAAAGGAGAGGTAATATTTGAGGCTGGCCAACTCAACACTGTAGCTCTATTGTTCAAAGACAAAAGGGATTTCCAAGAGCTCATCTCTGGTGGACCTGAGGGGAGATGAAGCTGAGGTCTGTCAGGTGTGGGGTAATGTGAAGCAGTAATGCATGTGGTAATGTCTGATGTAATAATTCATGTGATAATGTGTAGCTAATTCCCCTTGAAATTTAGGGGGAAATAAGCCCCCTCAGTTTTATCCATACACTGATGAGATGGAAGATATTCTTTATTTTATGAAAAATGGAAGTAAAACTATCGAATTTGGCAATCCTACCCTGTGCCCCAAAAATGCTGCCTCTGCTATGTGGGGTGTGGTAGCGTGACAATGTGATGTGGTAATGTGGGACAGTAATGTAGGGTGTGAACCTCCCACCTATCACCTGGTAGACTGAACAATAGACCAATAGATACATAGATCAGCTAAGCACCACCCACGGGCCTAGACATAAAATGGAGCATGATCGGAAAACTTACACCGGCCCACTCTACATACAGGCGGAAGCATTTCAGCAGATGCCACGGGTAAGAGTGTGTGTTGCGATTCATCGTATATTTGATTGAAGTTAAGTAGACTTCAGAAAGACTTTCCAGATTGTAATTCCTTTTGGTCCAATTGTCTGTATTTAATCCAGATTGCGCAATTGGATTCTGAAAAGCATACATTCATCAAATCCTTAAAAAATGTTTTTTTTCCTATTGATGTGGCTTCAAATTGGGTGAACCTCATTCAAATTTCTCTTAACACTACACTTCAGGGCATTAAAAGCGTTGAGTTGTAATTGACGTGTTGTTCTCTAGTCCACGCCAAATAAAACCAGCTAACATTCTCTTAGTTCAACTGTAATTGTTGGACGTGTTGGATGTGCTGACAAGCCAAATAGTGCCAGGAAAGAGTATTTCTCTCTGCCACATCACACAGGCACATCCAGTCCCCAATATTCATGGCACTCCATTTATAAAAACATAATATGGGACTAAGACATTTCTGGAAATAAAATCTTCAAACAAATTATCTTTCACATGTTTTAGTTATTTGATTTAATTTGAAACAATTGTTTAATGGTTTATACCGTACAATATCTTGCAATACTCCTTTAATATTCCTACAACATTAATCTACATTACACATTTAACTTTTGTTTTGCATTCTTTGTTATTTATCAAGAAGGTGTATTTTACCATTTATTTCACCATTGCCACGGCATGTTACCTGATAAGACCGTTACCTCATCAGAAATAGGACCTAAAATAAAATAAATAAATGTTGCCTTTCGTAACGTGCCATGGAGGTTAAATTGAGGAAATATGATTGGTGTTACAGGTGTTCTACATTTCCATGGCAGCTCCTGGGTAATGAGTCAGAGTTCTACTGCCTGTCAATTAGAATTGCACCCTGGTGTAAAACTGACCTGAGAGATGGAAAGTGGAAGTGGAAATTAACTACTGGGCACAACAACACTTCTGCCTGGTGGGTTACCCTGCGGGGAGAATGACATAGACACACACGGTAGGACCTGGCAGAGCCATCCTGCTCATTGAAACTGTGCTCCTTCAATTTGACCAATTCTTAGGATGAAAAGAGGCACAATACAGTATAACCTACAGAATGAATGCAAAGAGAATTTGGCCATCCTATCAGTGCCCCAATAAAATGTGTTGGTGCAGGACACCACTGGAAGCTGGTGTCAGTAAAATGGTTCCTGGATACTGAGAGCAGTGCTCTTGTCGTGACCCTAAACTGATGACCTGAATCAGCCCTTGTGTTTGCATACATGTAGCCGCCAGGAAGTCCAGCCACTGTGCTAGTAACTTATTAAGAGCCTGACGTGTCTAGTCCCCAGCCCTGACATGGATGGAGCTTGCATTATTATGGTGTCTGCTGATAATGATGGCTTCAGCCATATACAGCCATATTAGGTCTAGTGCGGTGCCCTGCATGACGCGTCCAACGCATTTAGCCAACGGCCATTTTGAGACTCCACCCGGGGTACAGATCAGTTTGTCCTTACAACCTCAGCGCTCTCAAAGGCAAAACGGTCGTTGGGAGGACAGTGTGTAAAATTAACTATAATATCACTGACTTAGGTACACATTCCCACGTGCCACTGAATGTGCTCATCTCAAAATAGCTGTTTAACAAATGTGGAAATTGGACCTAACTATACACCTTTTTATTATGTCACTAATGGACTAATACAGTTATATTCTATTATATTTCCTTCCATTCCATTCTATCATCCATACTGTAGCTGACCAACAGTGATTTCCAGAAGTGTTATGGATTAATTCTCCAACCACATTATTATTATTATTAACAGGCTGCTTTTGCACACAGCTGTTGCGGCTAATGCTATAGGTACGTAAGTTCCACAGCCATAAATACTATGTAGGTTTAGGCCTATCAAAAAGCCCAGGTGTGGCCGTTGTAACCGTTTAAAAGGCGGCTTCACAGAAATCACACCTGTAGGCCATTAACACCCTGGAAGAAAATATCACTGTTGATTATCCCTGGGAGCCTGAAGAGGGGGACAAGGTAAAGCTTGGCTGTGCCAGGCTATAACCTATAAAATGGGGTTGAGATTGAAGAATGTTAAAGGACACTTTGATTCTAATGAAAATGGAAGATTGAGCCGGTAGAAGGTAAGTGAGACAATATAATAATAATAATAATAATAACAATATATGCCAATACTGCAGCAAATGACATAAGTAAATAAATTCCCTACTGCTTAACACTGAGAGAGGAAACCAAAGTATCTTAATTTACATTTACGTCATTTAGCAGACGCTCTTATCCAGAGCGACTTACAAATTACTTAATATCTGTTAAAATAAATGGAGACAGAAAGGTAATGGATCTAATGCTTCAAATAACAGAAGATGACTGCAAATCTGTAATGTATCGCACTTGCTCATTTCTTTATATAAGACTGTCAGTAGAATAGTATGACTATTGACCTTAGTATTTATCAAGACAATTTAACCTTTTTTATCAAGTCCAATGGTTTAATTGAATTGTGATTATCATTTCGCTTCCAATTTTTTTTTCCTTAATAGATATATTTATAAAAACATTCATTCGTTAAATATCTGTTGTTTTACTGAAAAGTTAACTAAATCATGGCGTGAGAAGAATTTGATTAATTGAATTCAGGTGAAATGAAGTACAAGATCATATTTTAAGTGTGCGGCTTGTCGCCTACTGTTTCACACAATAAGATGTTGTTTCTAAAAAGCACTTGCCTGCATTTATTTAAAATATCAATAAAGTTAGCCTAATTCTACCTCGTTAAATTCTAGACAGTAATTCCAGATATGAATTAATGTCAATACAGTATGGAAAACAGTAGAGATAAGACATAATAATCAAGATCAAATTAGATATTTAAAGATCCCATAACATAAGGTCTTATAATACTGAAATGTGGGTATATATGTCTTCCCATTAAGAGATGTTAGTACAGTTAAATATCAAATTACAGCTAACTTTTGTGCAGTTGCTAGTAATTGAAATGAATAAATTACATTTGCAAGTAGACAATTAAGAAAACAGAATTATATCCAACATTGAACTATGAGCATCAAGCAGTCGGCAATCAAATAAGACATCAGTTTCAATCATCAGCACTAAGTCTATTTCAAATTAACGTGAAGTTGAATGTTTATACAACAAAAGTAAATCATATATGGCCCTCAATTTTATCTGGACGACCACTGTAAAAACAAGGCCCAAATACTGAAACAACAAGCCTACCTACTAGTCAATGAGGTTAAAACTTTGAATTTACTTTTAAACTAAAAAGTATGCGCTGAACTTCTTTTGTCATTGCACAACTTCTCATGAGGTTCTCGAATTTAGGAGCATTGACGCAGAAGACTACAGCGCTTTCAGTGATCATGAAAACATTAGCCAATTAGTAGAAATGCAACAATACATTTGTGTGTGTTTTATTACTGTATCACAAACTGTTCTCTGCTGTTTAAACATCTGTGGACTTTTTCTGCTTACACACAGATGGTGAAATTCCCAATATGAGAATAGACAAACAAAACACTTCAAATCGTTATACTCCCTCGCTATGGGATGAAAACTCCACAGTGAGAAACAACCAAAACTTTGAGACTGAACTCAAAGCTAAGAAAAGCAAAGAGGAGAGAAGAGAATAATGTCCTCATCTTACCTGAGCTGTGCAAATCCTCTTTCCCTTTACTGTTCCGTCTCTGTTCCGTCTCGTCCGGGGACATCGTCTGTCGTCCGAAGTCCCCAGGGACACAGGATACACCTGTGGGGTCACTACTACCTCCCAGACTGGGGTTGGTGTGGGAGCCACACAGATTTGGGGTCCCCCCACCACACCGTTCTGAGACTTGGCTGTCCGGGGGAGGCAGGCAGAGGCCATGCCTAGTGTTGTGTGAGGGCATCTGGGGGTTGTGCCAGGGGGTCTGGTGGGTCTGGTGCTGTGGGTGGTGGGGGTGTGTGTGCTGGTGGTGCTGATGGAGGTGTCCTCCACGATGGTGGTGCTGCTGCCCTCCGTACACCCCCTCTTCCCCGGGTCCAGGGTACCCCCCGCAGGGGGGCGAGGAGCCGGGCAGGTCAGGGTAGGAGATGTGGTCGGAGCGTCCATGCAGTGCCAGCGGGGACTGGCTAAAGGCAGGGTGGGAGTGCAGGCTCTGGGCCGGGGCGTGGGGGTTACGGAGGCACCCAAACAGGGAGTGATCCATCACGGTGCTCCACGAGATCCACCCGAAAGACGAACCCCCCTAAGTCCACCACACTGGTCACAATCACCAAAACTTCCAGGAACGACCAGAGTGACTAATTGAGACCACAAGACAGAGAAGGTGCAGGAGAGAGAGTAGAGCGGACTGAAGCCAATTGAGGGAGGTGGGTGGACGCGGAGCCTCAAATCAGGGCTCTCCTCCACGGCTCTTTCACCTCGCACCTTCGTGTGCTCCCCGTTAGTTCCCAGGGAAAGTGATCGGAGGAGGCTGAAGGAAGGCAGAGTGCGCAGCGTTGAAAGGTAGGGCCTCCGGTAATCCCAAGCATGCAGCCTGTTGCCAGGCACAGCACGGGTAAACACTGACTCTGCTGAGCTGGAGCTCGGGTGTCAGGACACAGGGAGACGTAGACGGAGAAGAGAGACGGCGGAGAGGAGAGACGGCTGAGGCCAGAGTGGTTCCAGGGTGAAGGTGGTTCCAGGGAAGTTGGGAGAGAGAGTGAGAGGGAGGGAGGGTGGGAGGAGGCCAGGAGCGGGGATGTTATATATAGGACGTAATGTGAGAGGGAGGCCGGGTCACTGGTGCACTGACTCACTGCTAGGCTACTGACCACATGTATACGATCTTCCTCCAAAACGCAACGCACAATAAATCTAAACCATTCCAATGGCCTGGCCTCCGGAAAAGTGGGCAATTTATTTTGGACCCACCCGACCCCCGTCGACACGATTTCTGAGAAGTGCAGTGTTGCGTCAGACTTTAGGGGGTTGGATATGGGGTTCGGGGTTTCAACACCCCAACATTATCTGCTGTTTGTGGGATTACTGCATATAGCGGCTGATGCGTTGCATTTAGGTGTATAGGTTGTTTGAAAATATGTTTACTGTATGCATGTGGCCCAATATTTGACTTCAATCAGCATCTGATTGATTTGAACAACTTTTTATCAATATCTACAAATACTGTATGTGTGTTAACATTACCCCCTAACCCCTCCACTCTACTCCCCTCCCCCGCACACACACACACACACACACACACACACACACACACACACACACACACACACACACACACACACACACTCCTAAGCATTTAAGCCCTAGTCGTTTTCAACATCACTTTGTAATTCTTTAAATGTATTTTTATGTTTCAAGTCTTCATTAAGTTTTTCCTTTTTTCCCTGTGTGTTTTAACTGTCAAAGTATCTCTTTGATGTTCGTTTTTTCTGCCATCAGAAAATACACATTCACATAACTGCATTGCAATGCAATACAGTAACAAAAATGTATTATGGGAAATTATAGGGGTGTTGTATAAACGCAATAGAGTGAGAAAAACTAATTTAGCACAATGAAATGAGTTCTTGTTTGTCAAAGTGATTCATTTGGCGGTTGTTTTTAACCAGCTTTTCATTTACAGTTATATATGGGAAGAAATTACCACAAAGGAAAATGCCTTTTGGTATCAAGGGGAAAATATCCATATATTCCCGAGGCGGTGGCTTTATAGTGGTGAGAATATAACAGAGGAGATGTGTGAAGAAAATGTCAAGAACAAGGAGATCAAATTCAGTTTCCATGTTAAAATGGAAAATAGAGACTTTGATACCAGTGTCTTGTCATAACGAATATATTTAATATATTTCAGTGCCATATATACACAGTGCCTTCAGAAAGTATTCATACCCCTTGACTTATTCCACATTTTGTTGTGTTACAGGCTGAATTCAAAATTGATTAAATTGATTTTTTTTGTCTCACCCATCTACACACAATACCCCCATAATGACAAAGTGAAAACATGTTTTTAGACATTTTAGCACATTATTAATTTACATAAGTATACACACCCCTGAGTCAATACATGTTAGAATCACCTTTTGCAGTGATTACAGCTGTGAGTCTTTCTGGGTAAGTCTCTAAGAGCTTTGCACACCTGGATTGTACAATATTTGCACATTATTATTTTTTAAATTCTTCTTCTGTCAAGTTGCTTGTTGATCATTGCTAGACAAACATTTTCAAGTCTTGCCATAGATTTGAAAGCCGATTTAAGTCAAAACCATAACTAGGCCACTCAGGAACATTCAATGTAATTTTGGTAAGCAACTATAGCGTATATTTGGCCTTGTGTTTTAGGTTATTGTCCTGCTGAAAGGTGAATTCATCTCCCAGTGTCTGTTGGAAAACAGACTGAACCAGGTTTTTCTATAGGATTTTGCCTGTGCTTAGCTCTATTCCGTTTCTTTTTATCCCCAAAAACTCCCTAGTCCTTGTCGATGACAAGCATACCCATAACATGATGCAGCCACCACCATGGTTGTAAATATGAAAAGTGGTACTCAGTAATGTGTTGTATTGGATTTGCCACAAAACATAACGCTTTGTATTCAGGACATAAAGTTCATTTCTTTGCCACATTTTTTGCAGTTTTACTTTAGTGCCTTATTGCAAACAGGATGCATGTTTAGGAATATTTGATTCTGTACAGGCTACCTTCTTTTCACTCTGTCATTTAGGTTAGTATTGTGGAGTAACTACAATGCTGTTGATCCGTCCTCAGTTTTCTCCTATCACAGTCATTAAACTCTGTAACTGTTTTAAGTTGGCCTCATGGTGAAATCCCTGAGCGGTTTCCTTCCTCTCCGGCAACTGAGTTAGAAAGGATGCCTGTATCTTTGTAGTGACTGGGTGTATTGATACACCATCCAAAGTGTAATTAATAACTTCACCATGCTCAAAGGGATATTCAATGTATGCTTCTTCTTTTTTTACCCATCTACAAATAGGTTCCCTTCTTTGCGAGGCATTGGAAAACCTCCCTGGTCTTTGTGGTTGAATCTATGTTTGAAATTCACTGCTCGACTGAGGGACCTTACAGATAATTGTATGTGTGGGGTACAGAGACTAGGTAGTCATTCAAAAATAATGTTAAACACTATTATTGCACTCAGAGTGAGTCCATGCAACTTATTATGTTACTTGTTAAGCACATTTTTACTCCTGAACCTATTTAGGCTTGCCATAACAAAGGGGTTGAATACTTATTTTCATTTTTAACGAATTTGTAAAAATTTCTAAAAACATAATTCCACTGAAATTATGGGGTATTGTCTGTAGGCCAGTGACACACAATTTCAATTTAATTCAGGCTGTAACACAACAAAATGTGGAAAAAGTCAAGGGGTGTGAATACTTTCTGAAGGCACTATGTGATTCTTATAAATGTTATACAGTATATTTCAGTGTTATGCTATTCATAATTTCAAGCAGATTTCTATTTTCTTCTCACCATTTCATCAAAATAATTTCTACATAATGAACACTATAACAAAACTAGTCCTTTAGATTTGAGAAATAAATGCACTCAAAATGGTGGTTACTTGGTGATAGTTTTTGTTTTGGGGACTTTGATTATGTCTATGATTAAATTCCTTCCAGACTACACTATTTAATTCCCTCCGATAATTCCCTAAATCTCACTCATCAAACAAACTTTAGCATCTGAGTTATAAATATTTGCTTTGCTAGTTTGCTTTTAAAAGCATCTATTGATATATATCTGCGCCCTGGCTGTTTTAAACATATAGGCGACTGCGGTGCAGGAGAAACCACACACATGAAGCCGGGTATTGGGAGAGGAAATTAGATTCATTTTCAAGGAAATTGTTTTAACAGAAGGAGAGAGAGCCGTCCCGCCATGCGATGTTAGAGTAGAGCTCTCTCAGAGCTGCAGCCGTATACAAAGAGTCTTAGGCTGCACCAGCACATCCGGTGGTCCTGTAGCTAGGGGTCCTGGAGAAAAACAGTGTTTACTTTACAAATTAGGCCAATTAGTAGCTGTGTAAAGTAATCCTTGGGTTTAGGCCCTCACTAATATGCTCACATGGTTTCGTTTTGGTCTGGGATATGGAGGCCGGCTGTAGCATGGAGGTAGGTGCCCCCAGGGGTAGATGTTGCTCGCTAGATCAGTCTAGGACGCACTTGCAGCCCCTCTCGCAGTACGACGGAGACCCCTAACCCTCCGTAACTGACACCCGGTCGATAATTTGACTGCTCCCTGGGGGAAAGGGATTTTCAACAGGTGAGTCCTTTCACTTTTTTCACACTGTGGGCCGTGGCAGGTGTTTGTCAATGTGTGTGTGTGTGTGGGAGGGGGGGGGGGGTGTGTGTGTGTGTGTGTGTGTGTGTGTGTGTGTGTGTCTGTGCATGTCCGTGTGTTCCTGTGTGTGTTTATATAGCCTCTATAGTGAATATGATGTTAGACATTTAACTGCAGCTGTTGTTCACCCTGCAACCTGGCTTTGTCGATCAGTCTGGGTTTACACTGTGAGAAGGATGGCCTGTGCATAACCTATAGACCTCACATACCGCTAGCATACGATGCATTAGGAACATGAGTGCCTCACTAACCTCCATAGTTTAGTTTTGTTGTGATGTACAATTAAAATATAAATATGAATCAAAATTGTGCTTGTGATTTATTGTATCATCATCAGATTTTACCGTCTTAAAATGTATCATATTAAAATAAAGTTAAACTGAAATAAAATAATGAGTATACAGTTATACAGTTTTCTTGTGTGCTGTTAGGTTTCTATATTTTATACTGGGATTTCTCTGAACTTCCATTTCAATACTTTTAGAAGTCTGAAATTGCTATATTTTAATTTAATGAGTTTTAAAATGTCAACTTTCCAAATGAAGAACCGTAATGAAAGCCTAACTTTGATCTGTCCTATTCCTTTATTGTGGTGCTTTTAGAGTTTCCCTGGATCATTTCTCACTAAATCAGAAGTAGGCGTGTGTGTGTGTTTGTGTGTGTGTTTCTGTGTGTGTGTGTGTAGGCATGCGTGTGTGTGTGACTAACTGTAAAGCCCTCCGTCAGCCAACATATCTTCCTTCTGTAGATGCCAGCTGCCGCTTCACAGAGATAAAACTATATCAAAGCATGTAAAGACATTTCAGACTCTTTCTACAACAACATAATGATCAATAGTTTTCATGGTAATAGTCAATTAATCATAACAGAGAGATAATGTACTTTCAACGCATGTAAAAGCAATTCAGACGCTTTCTATATATAACAACATACAGTATAATTTGTATGGGTTTTGATGTCATATACAAAATAATATCCCATAGTCTTACACCTGTTTTATTACTGAATACCATGGTGTTAGATGTTTTCTTATAGAGTTTTAACTGTCCTATACTGTACACTATGTGTCTGTTGAGTGAAAGGGAAAGTCTGAAAGTTAGTATGACATGGTGAAGAAAATGTAGATTACTATTCCATACTTTAACTACAGTAATGAACTGCAATAGCTTTACAAATAATTTCTCTAGATCTGAAGAAAATGTGTCTTCATAAAATCAGCAATATTTGTTTAGATCAGGGATGGGCAACTGGCGGCCCTGTGGGGGAGGGAGTTTGTGTGTGTGTGTTTGGGAGGGGGAAACAGCAGATATAGAAGACATTCTGTAATGATCGACAAAAAAATTTA